TCGATTAACCTACAAGGGAAAACAACAGAAGACATAGACTCAGAAATGGACAGACTGCACTCAGCAATAAAAACATCTATAACCAAACACACTCCTACTTCACACTTTAGAACATTACCCAACAACAGATTACCAGAAGAAGTTAAATTAATCCAAACCCATTACAATGAAATAAACAGGTATATGGAAAGACACGGCAGTAACAGATGGCTATATACGACGCAGACAGCACTACAGATAAAATTAAGAGACGCATGTAAGGAAGCAAACAATAAAAAATGGAATGATATTATGATGGCGGCTGACATGACTAAAGACACAAAAACATTTTGGACTTCCATAAACAAGATGATGGGGCACAACAAGCAAAAAACACCATATATTAAAGACCAAAATGGAATAAAACTGCACGAGGAAAATGAACAAGAGTCAGCATTCAAAAGGGAATGGGTAAAAGTTTTTAAAATATCAGATGAGGAAAATGAAGATTTTGATACTGAACACGAAGAAAGGATAGAAGACGAAATGGGAAGACATACATAGAATCACCCCAAAGCAATATATAGACTATAACTTATCACCTAATAATCAAATAATAACCATGGGAGAAATGATGCACTGTCTGAGGAAGTTTAAGGAAAAAGGCCCCGGGCTCACAGGTATTACACGAAATATGACCATGAATCTACCTGAAAACATCTTAAAAACACTATTAAACATTTATAACGCATGCTTAATAACCGGTTACTTTCCAGACAAACTAAAATATGCTAAAATGATATTTATTCCCAAAGAGGGTAAGGACAATAAGGAAATATTAAACTACAGGCCAATATCTTTATTAGAAATTACCGGGAAACTATTGGAAAATATTTTAAATTCAAGACTTATAACCTTTCTAACACAACATGGGAAAACTAACAATAGACAACATGGATTTATGCCCAATAGAAATACCCTAACTGCAATAGCTACAATAACGGAAATAATTGCAATAGAAAAAAGCAAGGGGAACCAGATCAATATAATTTTAAGGGACGTTTCTAAGGCTTTTAATAAAGTTTGGCATTTAGGCTTAAAATATAAGATATTAAAATTGGGACTTAACGAATACTTGCTAAGAATATTGTGTAACTATTTAGATGATAGGAGAGCACAAATTCAAATTGGAAACTTTATGGGAACTATGTTTAATCTTGAGAGTGGAGTACCTCAAGGAGGATGCTTTTCTCCAACACTATATACAATTTATACCTCAGACACACCTCAACCTACCCCCTTTAGCGAATATGTAATGTTTGCTGATGATATTACTCAAATAGTATCATACCCAGGAAAATCAACCCAATTTATGGCACTCTACACGGTAAGAGCAATAAAAAATATAAATGATTTTGAGAAAAAATGGAAAATCAGGACAAATAAGAACAAATTCAAGATAATACCAATAGCCAAGATCAAAACAAGTCCAGTAATAGTCGACCAGGAACTATACCCATACGACACTGAAGGCAGGATGCTTGGACTACAACTAACAAAAAGAGGATATATAACATAATTAAAAGATAAAGAACTACAGGCAAGAATAAGATTATCAAAAATAAAACGCTTTAAGAACCTTAGCATTAATAACAAAAGAAAGATTTATATAGCCCTTGTCAAATCAATTATGGACTACCCACCCATCCCATTGAACACCCTTAGTAAAACGAGCATTAAAAGGTTACAAACAGTACAAAATATAGCCCCCAGATTTATATATAACATAAAATATACAGACCACATCAATAATGAACAGCTACACAAGAGAGCAAACCTCCTAGCAATCAGTGTAGAAATACACAACAAAGCTGCAAATATTTGGAAAAAGTGACTGAACTTAACACAGAAACATATCAAAATTGGATAAATAATATTGACAACGAAGAATTCCAAGAACACAGTTGGTTTAAATCAGCCAGGAAGAAAGTAATTGAACCATCTCCTGCCCCAATATACACATAAAACATTAATAGAGAGAATAAAAGATGAGTGACCTACCAGCTCCACAAGAACCTGGCAGGCCTCTCCATACAGTGTACCTTTAGACTAACATAACTAACATTTAACATTAACTAACATCTTAGCAAAAAAAAAGAAAAAAAATGTGACTACCCTCCCAGCTACACAAGGACCTGGGCGGGCTCACTAACTTCAACAATAATAAAAATAATAATAATAAGCAGCATTATAAAAATAAACCAATATTAATACAAAGGTCTGACGACCCAAGGGAGCAGAACAAAGATAAAACACCAATAAGAAAGATGAAGCGATCTGGTTGAGCCCAGATTCTTTCTACTCCTACTGTATTTCAGTTTCACCACTTTTCCTTCAACCCCTAATAATCTCCTTTCACCTCTTAACTAAAGACTTCGTATCGTATCGACATGCCCCTTCTTCTAGCTACAGCCGCAGCAAGCAACACCTCCTGCCTGGCGGCCCTCGCTCCCGCCGGCGAGCATGGCGACCCACAAGCTGTCCTCCTCTGAGCATCATCACCAACCAGCTCTCTCTACATCACGCTTGTAACCACGCTGCCACTTCCCAGCACCAAGCTGCATTGTACATCCAATACAACATGTATACAGAGAGCAGCACATTGTGAGTTTCCTTTCTCCATCCCATCCTGAGTGTGAACCAAACAACCTGTTCCCCACAGTATCACTTCTCACTGCCACGCAGGACAGAGAAACTATTAACCGACACATGCCAATGAGAACAACTGTCGTATCGAATTTATGTGGATTCCGTCCCATGTTGGAATTAGGTATCATGACAGTGCTGATAGACTGGCCAATGAGGCATGTAAGAAAGAAAATGTTGACCTTGGCCTGTCCAATGCTGTACTTAAAAACATTCAATTCAGAATCATGAACTCTGATCTAGAAGAACTGAGAAGTGCAGTCCCTAGCATATCTCGGGGACCAGATGGGGTGACAGTACTCCAGATGGGGAAGCACTTCACTCCTGAAGATCGTTACGAGGGACGGACCGTCTAGATATCTGAACGACCTTCTTGTAAGACCCAATAATTTATTTGCCTGATTTACCTTCTTCTCACAATGGCCCGAGAACTTCAGCTCATTGTCAACATACACACCTAGGTCCTTCTCACACACAGTCTCAACTAGCGCAGTTTCTTCATCCCGTTGGGATATATGATACGCCTCCTTACCGTTGGTACGCCCCAGGTGCATCCTCTTCGACTTCGTGACATTGAATCTCAGCAGCCATTTCTTCGACCATTCCTGGAGCCCACAGAGATCCTTCTGCAGCTCTTCACAGTCCGCTTGGTTCTTAATTTCCCGAAATAACTTGGCGTCAGCGGCAAACATTTGTATGGAGGAGTGTACAACGTCAGGCATGTCATTTATGAAACAAACAAACAACAGCGGGCCCAATACACTGCCCTGTGGTACCCCACTTGTGACAGGTACAGATGACGATTTCGTACCATTAATCACCACACACTACTTGCGGTCATGTAGAAAGTCTTCTATCCACGCTAGGACATTTCCCCGAATTCCGTACCCTTCCAGTTTGATTTTAAGCCTTTCGTGGGGTACACTGTCGAAAGCCTTGGCGTAGCCTAATTCTGGCCACGACTACATCACATTGTCTGGTTCTGTCCTTATGCTGGTCATACCGGTACCTTTCGTCACAAAATTTGTCATATTTACTAATGCTACAACTGCCAGGTCTCTCTGCATTTCTCAGTTCTTCTAGATCAGAGTTCATGATTCTGAATTGAATGTTTTTAAGTACAGCATTGGACAGGCCAAGGTCAACATTTTCTTTCTTACATGCCTCATTGGCCAGTCTATCAGCACTGTTATGATACCTAATTCCAACATGGGACGGAATCCACACAAATTCGATACGACAGTTGTTCTCATTGGCATGTGTCGGTTAATAGTTTCTCTGTCCTGCGTGGCAGTGAGAAGTGATACTGTGGGGAACAGGTTGTTTGGTTCACACTCAGGATGGGATGGAGAAAGGAAACTCACAATGTGCTCTCTGTATACATGTTGTATTGGATGTACAATGCAGCTTGGTGCTGGGAAGTGGCAGCGTGGTTACAAGCGTGATGTAGAGAGAGCTGGTTGGTGATGATGCTCAGAGGAGGACCAGCTTGTGGGTCGCCATGCTCGTCGGCTGGAGCGAGGGCCGCCAGGCAGCAGTGGAGGAGGTGGTGTTGTTGCTTGCTGCGGCTGTTGCTAGAAGAAGAGAGAGATCAACACGAGGTCAGGTCTTTTATAGCGGAGGTAGGCGTGGCTTAATAGTTGACCTCCGTCATGTAAGGCGGCGCTGGTTGACCTAGACCACGAGGCATACACTGGGGAATTGGCAGGGTCGGCTAATCAGCGACAAACAGCGGTTGTAGGGGAGGGATCCACTACAATACCACCCTCAGTGTCAAGACCTGACTGAATTACTCAGAATAGGCAAACTGTACTCCAAGCTTTGTCAATAAATTGCTACATTAAAAAACTAAACCTCTCCTCTCCCCACCTACAACACTAATACTGTACTGCATACATCTGCTGCAGTGTATAGCTGACGAAAACTTCACCAGCCCGTCAGCTTCTCGTCCGTGCCACCTTTTCGAAACCGTAAACACTTTACATGAGTTTATGCAAGTTACTGTCTTCATCGCGATACAGAAAGAAGGGTGGCTTGCAGTCATAATTTTATCCTTATACAAAGAAGGAACGCGGTCTACCGAGCTGGAGTTGTGTCTACCGGGATATTTACACTGTAGCTTCCATTAACTTAACCTCTTAATTGGCTCAGCCATGTTAATATTGTTATTATTATCGACCCTGTATCTGTATTTTTCTGGCTAAATAAACTGTTTCAACAGCAATACTATAGTAGCACCAATAAGAGTATCTCCAGGACACACTAAGCTTATTAAATCATCTTATTGAAACCAAAAATCTAAATCGAGGCGCACGTTTCTTTCAATGGTATATATAGAGTTCCGTATATTATGCAATACGCAGAATAAAAGAAAACAAGTAGCAGTGAGTGAGGGAGGGAGGCGGGGTCGTGGTTGGCTCGCCTGGCTGGGTTTATGTGGTCGCCTGGTTGATTGTAAACATTGAGGTGCGTCTTCCCTCATCTCACTCCAGCATGATAATTTATTACCTCACTCATATTACACCGTGCGCCCGTTCACGCTGAAGTGTACAATAAAGTTACTGATTCAAGTTATTCGCCATTTCAAGGAGAAAAGCACAAAGACGAGTTTAGAGAGAGGGTTATATTAACTTGGAACTACTGAGCTAGGATGAGCTCCACCAAAGAAAATAATTGAAAATAGTGAAACACATTGACATACCGAAGATTACATTATTAGGAAAGATTACGAAATACAAGGAAAGTTGGCTCTGTGGAAATCTAAATTCTTAAGGTAAGTTTTTGGAGCTAACCCAAGATTTATTAAGTTTAATCGTGGAAGGACGTGCCAGGAAATTTTTAAGGAATAACATGATATTTGTCAGTTAGGTAATACTTAATGCAGTTGATATTTGGTATTATTGTAGTTTCTGCCAATACTCGGCCGACTGTTTTAACCATCCTCAACCTTTAGATTTCCTAATTTGGAGTATTTCTAACCCCATTTCAACCAGGGGGTAAAGAATAAGGTAAACTGTAGATAACGGCTACCACCAGAAGGAATTGGTTGAAAAATTTTCTACACAATATGATATTAAACACAAAAATGGAAATGACAATGTATAAAACCTGACCTACCCACAGGTTGGGTATGTTAGGTCAGGTTCTATTAGGTTCAATGCATTACCGTGTTAATTTATGTGTTAAACAACTTACCTTAATATTGAGGTTGATATACATCAGCAATGGCGAGGAGGAATTCGTGGAAGCGTTGACCATCATTTATAGGAAACGTCTCTTGAAGAGGGATTCAGCGAGGTAAACAACAAAAGTGGCGCTGGGAGGAGAATTGTGAAACAGGATAGTAAAAAAATAAGTAAATAAATACTTAAAAAATCATAATAAAAAGTTGTCGTTTCTTTTAATATACTTTAAATCATCAAAACAATAAGTACGGCAAAAATAAAGAAAAAACAACTTCTGGTGATCTACACCTTTACCAAGAATGTCAGAAATGAATTTTTAAGTTTTTCCATTTTTTTTTGGGGGGTTAACTCTCTAAAACGGGTACTTCCCCCGGAAATAAAGATAAAATTCGATTAAATCACACCAAAATACACAGGAAAAACTAATTTTTAAACTACTAGGGCATATTGGCCGAAACTGCAATTTTACCGTATGGTCAAACAGTAGTTGGGGCTGAAACTGCAAATTTACCACTGTTTTGTTTGGCTGTAATGAAGGATTAGCCAATCAGAGCACGCTCATGGTAAAATAGTGTTAGTAGGAACTTACCCCGACACGACAAAATATCTACTGCCAATATATACTGAACAATGTTAGAACACCAACCCACCAATATGCAACTTTTTTAATGACTTTCTTTCTTGATTAAACTAAAAGTCAAATGCAGGATTTTTTTTTTTTCACAAAATATTCTACGTCCACCCACTGCATCCATCCAATACCATTTTTGCGTTTGATAATAATAATAATAATAAAATACCTGTAATTTACATTTAGTCAATTTGATCAAGAAACGCCGACAGAGCCATCTCGTGTTCCCAGGCGGTCACCCTTCTAAATATAGTATACTAACCAGACCTAACATTAATTAACTAAGCATTATAATGCAAGGCGTGTTGATCATACTCAGGTGCTTTTTCTATTTATTTGAACAAAGTGTTCATTAGATTTAAGAAACAACATCAACATACAGTGCTCAGTACATTTGCTGATGTTCAGCATCTATGGGGCCACATTATCATGCCCCACAGTTAAGTACATGGTCACTCAGAGCATTAGAGACTGACACTGTTAGAATAGCCAGTGCCAAATTGACCTGGGTCACCTTGCCTAAGAAAATTGATCAGGACCCAGGAAATCCCTATTTATGGTTATTTTTTCCTAGGTCAAGATGAGGTAACTATCCCTACCTGAACCCAAACATAAATGGTTCATCACTTTTCCAACAGATCTAAATATTAATAATTAAATTTTTAGTTTCAAAAGGTCCACTCGAGCAAAAATCTGAGATCACAGATGTCTAAGATTGAAATTTACATGTCATCATTGTTAACATCATGTTTTACTACCATACAACATAACAATTCGTACGCCAATTGCATAGTTACATCTTGCCTTTCACACAAAGAGAAGGTCCTATTGCCATCAATAAAGGCAGCAGTTCCCTAACTACTAACAGCCACTTGTGACTCTTGCAACTGAAATAACTATAATACCACCTCCAGCACTGGTTATGTCACCCTGGTGTGCATAACTCATCAGGACATATGAAAATACTGTACAGTACAATAATTCTGTTGGTTGTATCTGAAACACTGGAAAAACTATTGAAGAAACACTTTTCTCAATAATTCTCGAGTAATATAGACACGAAACTGTAAATCCACATATGAAAAAAATGAGGGGGGGGGGAGGGCTCAATGAAGTGTTACATATTTTTTTTCTCTAAATTATTATTCTGCAGCGTGATGGCATGCGGAGGTTGGGAAGGAAGTGTGGATGCAAATCAGCTTGAGGCAAGACTTCGAGCAGGATTAGAAGCAGATCGTCGATATACAGCAGAAAATGCAGCCAAGTTACGTGCCATTCACTCAGCACCAACTTATGATGAATTTAGGCAGCTTGTTCTTGGTGAGAAAAAGATTATTTCCATGTGTATTAATTTTTTCAGTATGAAGAGTATTACAGTGGTCCCTCGGTTAACGAACACAAATCGTTTCACAGAGTCGTTCGTTAACTGAAAGTTTCGTTAACCGAATCCATTATTTCAATGGGATATTGGGTAATTGGTTCCAGCTCACAATAAAGTACATACAAAGTATAAACAAAATGCAGTAAAGTACACTTACTTTGAGGTGTGTATGTAGAATGTTGCTGGTTGATGATAATGGGAATTAGAAGTGGGGGGTGGAGGAGGAGAAGAGAAGGAAGTGGGGATGGAGGAGAAATTGCCTTTCTTTTGACCCATGCTTAATGCAGTAATTTAACCAATAAAATTTTAAGTTCACTAGCTGTAATTACAGATTATTTTATTTAAATCAACACTGCACTGCGCTGTATATTATCAATATGTTAACTAAATTTCAGAATGACCAATAATTTTAATGTAAAAACGTAAAAATACTCTGTATTCAAGAGAGCAACAAACATGATGTTTCCTCCACTTTAAACAAAGTTTAACTGACGCTTTGGCGGGTGAGTCAAGCGACGGATGGGCGCACAAAAAATTAGTTCCCTGTACTGCATATATTATCAATATGTTAACTAAATTTTAAAATGAATAATAATTTTAATATAAAAAATGCAAAAATATTAAAGAGCACAACTTTCTTGATATTTATTCCACTGGAAACGAATGTAAACATAGAACCAATTACTGTATTGGCAGACTAGCTGATCAGCTGATGCTCACAACAAAACGTGTTTGTCGTAAGGATTTCGTTAATCGAAGTTTTGTTCGTTAACCGAATTGAAGATCCTTATGGGAGCTAATTCGTTAACCGAATTTTGTTAATCGAACCTTTCGTTAACCGAGGGACCACTGTACATGTAAAAAAAATTTCTTTACTCAGAATGAAATGTACTGAACTCTTCATATACCATATGTGCCATTGTACAGTACAGTATGAAATACGCGTTTTTTTTCTTTCCTGAAAAGTGTCTCTAAACTTGCCTTATGTCTTCTACATCAAATGTATTCCTCAGACATTGTCTAGAAGTGATGTTAATCATAGGAAGAGCCTTTGGTTTAAGAATTGATAGAACAGAAATATAGTTCATCAGTCACCTACTGTATAAATAAACTTACAGGTAACAGTAGTTATGATGAGTATGGCTTTGCTCCGTAATGGATAAAATGGTAACTGCTTAATCATTAAAATGCATTTATAGATTACGTTCCATTCATGTTTTGTTCCATAGTTATGAGAACAAATATTAAGTGCTACATTTATTCACTGATTTTTTCCTAAATATTCCCTTCAAAATCAATGAGTCTTTTACAAAGGTGTGTTTTATACAGTGGCAGATATGAATCTTTCTTAGAGAAAATGTGTATTTCTATAATTTATAGTTGGAGGAAATCTCACTTTAAATACAGTATTAAAATTCTTTCAATGGTAATTCATACTGTAAGAAATAAACCTAAAGAAGAAATGCTACAATATTAAGGTTTATTCATAACAGTGAGGTCATTGGAACAATGAGTATTGAAAGACTGAGCCGTAGGAGGCAGTAATACATGTTAGGTTAGAAACTCGTAAATTCTTCCAGATAAAAGAGTTACAACATGGACAGTAATAAAGCTTTCTCTCTAGTATATTTCAAATTGTTTATACCATTCTTGGAAGACATTTTCAATGCCATTTGTTTGAATTTTCAGGGGCTCATCTAAAGCCACTTGATCGAAATGATAAAAGCAAAGTTCGTCCGTCCATCTGGAATTCCCTGGCTTCTTCAGCAACTAAGAAGTCGAGTAAGCCACCTCCACAGGACACTGAAAATTCTGTATATCCAACTGATGTACAATATGTGAGTATTGTGGTCCAGTGACAACACCCAGAAAATTATCCTTCCCCAAATTGGCTTGTACAATAATTGCTTCACTCATATGTACTCACATCCTTCCAAATATGGTATTGTCTGTTTCAGCTTTATCCATACTGCTGCTTCCAAATACTTTGTAAGGTTTGTCTTAATACTGTAAGTCTTACTAAAATGCCAGCAAATTAATTGATGTTGAGCTTTCGTTGGAATTGGATTTATTTTGGCCTTTCAAGCCTTTTCTTATAATAATGAAGGATGGCTACAGTCAAGAGCATACACACAGATTGTCTCTTCATTCACTCCTATTGCTGTAACAAAAGGAGCATACTGTATGTTATATATAAAATATAAAATTTATTGAAACATCTTAAATCAGTTTTCATGAAAACCTTTTTCTATAAGTCCTTCATGCAATATATTGTATTTGTCTCATTATTATCTAAGAACATATTACAATACAGTACCTTATATAGTGTGAGGTGTGTGGCTGGGCAACGTATCACTCCCCACACACCGCTTTGCCTCGCCTCTACGCCACACAAATTAGTTCTCGTACATAAATACAGTGATCGCTCCATTAGCCGGAACAATTGGTGCAGAGCATTTCTGGGAATGAGAGATTTCCGGGTAACGAGACAACTCTCTCAAAGCCGAAAAAAAAATCCCCCATCCCCGGAATTTTCCGGGTAATGAAAAAATATTCTTGGAAGTTCCAGAAAATGCCCATTACATCTTTCAAACCTAGAAAAATATCTCTCATCCCCGAAATTTTCCTTTTATCAGGAAATTTTTTTTAGAAATTTTCTGGAAAATGTGACCCTTGGAAAATCGCTCCCAAAGCCGTAATTTTCCAAAAAATTTTGGCTTTGGGAACGATTTTCCGAGAAAATTTAAATTCCGGCTATCGGAGAGTTCCGGGTTTGAGGGATTCCGGCTAACGGAGATATTACTGTACAGTAGGTCCTCCAAATTCGCAGGAGTTAGGTTCTCAAAATGGCCGCGAATCGCCAAATCCGCAAATGACATTTGCTTACCAGGGGGGAATTGTTACATTTTCACTTGTGTACAAAGAAATGTATATTCCCTTTATGTGTTTGCCCTTAGGACAATTATTTCCTGTACCTGTATATTGTAAATATGTGATACAAATAAATAATAATGGGAAAATACTCTCACAAATAATCAGAAATAAATTTATTAAAAATGTGAGTCTACCTTCAAGTCCATGCTTTATTAATAAAGTAATAAAGCACGGACTTGAGGGTAGACTGTCGCAGTTTTAATAAATTTGTTTCTGATTATTTGTGAGAGGGTTTTCACAATTATTACTTATTTGTATGTATGTGTGTGTGTGTGTACACACACACACACATATTTACAATACAGGTAAGGAAATGGACGAGTTGACGGTCGGAATTTTTTTGTAAGATGGCAGGTCAATGGGTAAAAAAAACGCTTAAATTCACTATGGTAATGATATTTTTAAATAAATTGGGCCAAAAAGTGTCAAAAAATATCGGTTAAAGTTTCTAAAAAGTCACATGACTGCGAAAAGCTGTGATTGGTTGTGACTGCAGCAATGAGTTTGAAACTAGTGATGTCATTGCAAATGGCAGTCCTGTTTCGAGAGAAATAAACTTATTTCGATTATTATAGCAGGACTTTAAACTTTTATTACAAATTATATATACTACTGTATCACTCTACGAACGTGGCAGAGTGTATTTCTTGTGTTTGCCCAGAACCGTCAACTCAACCATTACTGTCTCTAGAACGAATGGCTCCCTGTCCCAGCCGCAAAAATGCCGACAACTTTATAACTACCAACAGACATTCTTGGGTACATCCAGGGTGTCATCCACGAATAATAGAAAACCGCGAAATAAAAATCCGCGAATTTTGGGGGCCCCCTGTACTACGAACCAGTTGTACTTGTGTCGGATTCTTAAAATAATTGACCTTATGGGACCTCGTTTGTATCGGTGAGTGTTCGTAAGTCGGGGACCCCCTTTACTGTACTGTATATATATATATATATATATATATATATATATATATATATATATATATATATATATATATATATATATATATATATATATATATATATATATATATATATATATATATATATATATATAGGTGGCCTGAGATGTTTTTATTATACTGTACCATTATGCTTAATTAAAATCTGCTGAATTTTAACTGGGTTTTCAAATTGTTTTTTCTTTTGTGAGATAATTTCGATATGTTGAGATTTTGGACTAATTCGATCAACCCAGAGCCCCAACTAAATCGAGTTAAAAAAAAATAATCATAATTTTGATTGCATGTTTTGCTAATTAAAATTTCTGAGACTGGAACAAACAAAATGATGCCATGCATCACTTCCATCAATTATGGGCAATGTTATCACTCTTGTAGTTTCACACACACACACACACAAAAGAAAAATTCTAGAATGCATTTTGAGTTTACAAGATAAAATGGCACCTATTGTATTCAGTGGTAAGTTAACATACCATTTGAAGCAAAAATAAACAAAATTTCATACTGTTTCACTGTTTTTATGTGTGTGTATTTTTCACTTTTGCTTCCTTACTTCTGCTCTTTTCATATATTATTATCTTTACACCCTGTATTTTATAGGATGTTAACAATCCACCAAGCACTACTGAAGGTCTTGTGCAGTTGTGGGAGCGATTGGATTTGGCTGAACGACTTGAGCTGTTACGCAATTTGTCACCACAAGCAACAGAGAGATTAGCAGGGGGTCTGGTGGCTGGTGGCCTTTTAGGGGATGCCATCACCACACTCTTGGCTTTTACACCAACTGTTAGTGATGTGGTCATGGTAGTCAATATGTTGCAGGCACTGACACTTGCAAAAAGGTTAGCAAAGTTTATATGTTTGTATTGACTAGACCTAGTGGTACTATAAAATCTTTTATAATCCACTATAAAAAGTATTATTAGGTTATAGACAAATTGACCTTGATTGATAATTGAAGTACAGTACTGTTCTTACAAGCAAGAAGCAAGGCATTACCCTTCCTCTAAAGGCAGGGTTTTCAGTATGATATTTTATATCAGATTAGTTATGTAACCATTTAAAATTTTCAGTCGTTCCCATTAAAAAAAAAAATAATATATATATATATATATATATATATATATATATATATATATATATATATATATATATATATATATATATATATATATATATATATATATATATATATATATATATATATATATATATATATATATATATATATATATATATATATATATATATTTTTTTTTTTTTTTTTCATGTAAATACAATGTGATTTTATCAAGATATATATATATATATATATATATATATATATATATATATATATATATATATATATATATATATATATATATATTTTTTTTTTTTTTATTTTTTTTCATAAATCCACAATGTGATTTTATCAAGATATATATATATATATATATATATATATATATATATATATATATATATATATATATATATATATATATATATATATATATATATATATATATATATATATATATATATATATATATATATACAGTGACCCCTCGGTTAACGAACTCAATCCGTTCCAGAAGGTCGTTCGTTAACCGAAAAGTTTGTTAACCGAAACCATTGTTTCAATGGGTTTTTGGGTAATTGGTTCCAGCTCACCGAAAATTTCCTAAATTCAACAAAAATGGTAGAAAAGTTCACTTACTTTGAGGTGTGTATGTAGATGATGATGATGATGATGATGATGATGATGATGGGAATTACAATGGGGGTGGAGGAGAAGGAAGAAGAGAAGGCATTGGGGTGGAAGAGAAGTCACCCCATGGCACCATTTCACCCATAAAATTTTAGTTCTCTTGGTGTATTTCAAGATTATTTTCTTTAAATCAACACTGTACTGCATTATATATTGTCAATATGTAAAATATATTTCAAAATGACCAATAATTTGCTTGGAAACACAGAAAAAAGCGTTTAGTTGAAGAGAGTCTCAAGCAAGATGTTACCTCCAGTGATAACAGAGAGACTAACGCCTGTTTGCTGTGTTAAGAGGCTGGATGCTGCGCTTTAAACTAGTCACTTTATCTTCAATTATGTTCAATAATTGTTAAAATGACTAAAAAATTGAATATTAAACTTTTAAAATTATTGAATAGTATAAACTTCTTGATATTTACTAAAATAGTTAGGAATTTAAGCCCTAGAACCGATTAATGTATTGGCGGACTGATACTTAAGCTGGTTGCCCGGCCAGTGCAAGCGAAAACATGTTGAGGTCGGTTCGTAAGAAATTCGTTAACCGAATTTTTGTTCGTTAACCGAATTGAAGATCCTTATGGAAGGCAGTTCGTTAACCGAGGCGTCGTTAAACGAGGGGTCACTGTATATATATATATATATACTGTATATATATATATATATATATATATATATATATATATATATATATATATATATATATATATATATATATATATATATATATATATATATATATGCAAAGTAAATCACTGTAGGTGCGTGATCTAGGTATATGTTGTGAAAGAAAAACACGAAGTTCCCAAGCGCTTTGAAGATGAGATTGCAGCGCTTGGGAACTTCATTTCTCTTCTCAGTTATCACATATATATATATATATATATATATATATATATATATATATATATATATATATATATATATATATATATATATATATATATATATATAATTACAGTACAGTACTGTTTAGTATGTTTGATATATATGTGATACAAGTTTGGCAGGTGCAACTCTTTTCACTTTTAGGTATGACCAGCATTGTACAGTAAGTGTTGTCATCTTCACATTTAACACTCAAATAATCACAAAGCATTCTTTGGAAAATGCTTCAGAGATTGTTGTTGAGTTCATGGGACTTTTAGATGTGATAAACAACAACCACTATCTTCTGAAAAATTTTGCCTGTGGTAATCCCTTTGGGAAAAGGCGCGCATGACATAGTTGTATGATATAGCTTGTCTAACTGTAATTACTACACATCAGTCCCATCACCTGCCACAAGGAAATAACATGTGTGTTTGACAGAGGTTAAGGGTAATTTATGTAAAACCAGTGTCACAAACTAAAATTCGTGTTTCCTAATGTCATAAAGTCAAGTTTGTACATTTTTGGAACTACATTAAAAACTGAATATTATTGTACAGTACTAATTAAATTGATGAATATGTTTGATAATTGAAGTTTGATAGTTGAAGCAAAGATGATTTTATTTAAACAGGAAAGTACTGTATTGAAGACACTACAGGATGCATACATATTGATAGATATATATATATCTGGTTCCATTCTAGATTTACCCTGAGTGTGACATTAGTGTGTGGAGAGGAGCGATGGGCATGGGGTCGACTCCTGGAGAAGCTACAGCTTGCTTTATCAGAACGACCACAGGACCTTGCCGAGTTGAATGTTACCGAATGGACTCTGGCACAGCTTAAGCTCAAATTTAATCTTTAGGATATTTAAAATAACACACACACACACACACACATACTGTATATACAGTATTAAGAAAAATTACCTTGCTTTGGTTTCGTAAATATACCCAAAGAAGCTGACTTTTCTCTTGTTTTATTATTATTCAAACAGTACCGTAAGTACTTATTTCCATTATAATAATGGAGACTACAATTATACACAATATTAATTTTATAAAACATCTTTTTTTTAGGTTTTCTGTACTTAATATTGAAGATATCAAATTTATTATTTATGAAAACCTTTGGGTTTCAGTATGCTATGTATTGTATTATATCTTATTATATAAGAAGTTAATAGATTTCTAACATATAATTAATTATAATTGATCTTTGACTTAGGAATTTGAGTGCTCTATCCAAAATTTAACTCTCAAACTATAACTTAAATTTTTTAATGGTTTTAGTATTGTACATTATCTTTATTGTTTACAATGGAGAAGCCTTACTACGGTACTGTAATTTTTGCTTTCACTCATTGTTTTTGTCTTTAGAGAGGGAGTGAGAGAGGTCTAGTTTCAAATGAAAAATATAAAAAATCGTGTTAGGTACTTTCTAACTTTTAACATAAACTTACGCAGGCTGCATATTACTTGTACAGATTTGGGAACAGTTTGTTTGTAAGGATTCCTTTTATCACATCTCTATATATATTGGTATTCATCCAACCACAATAATTCACTCAGCAGCGTTCCTAGGCAGTGCAACAAATCACGCTTATGTCCAAGTGTGTGTTCACACACACACACACACAGGGTATATAATTATAGAAATACCCATACCACTCCACCGGAGACGGTTCCAAACTCTACCCTTCCTAATGAACCTATGCACTTTCCTGTAATCTCCAATCATAAGGTTGCTGGTATGTTATCCAATCTGGGTTTGAGTAAGATGCATGGACCAGACGGAATGCCCCCGTGTTTTGAGGGAGTCTGCTAAAGTTCTGGCCTCTGTGTTCACTCGCCTTTTTTGCCTCAAAACCCAAACTTTTTCATCTTCTTGGAAGCATGCCTTCATTCAGGCCATCCCAAATAAGGGTGACCATTCTAATTCTTCTATTGCCCTAACTTCGCCCCTCCCCCACCCCCCTCCAAGATTTTTTAACTATCCTCAACTCATTTTCTACGTCACCTTTAATGCCTTTCTCTTTTGTCAGATCACCAGTAAGGTTTCTGCCAGGCGAGATCTACTGGTGATCTGCTCTCCTATTGCACCCATCTTTGGTCATCCTCTCTTAGGGATTATGGGAAAACTTTTGTTGTAGCCCTCAACATCTCCAAAGCATTTGAGAGGGTATGGTACAAGTCTTTACTTTCTAAACCTCCTGCTTATGGTTTCTCTCCTCCACTATCTTCTCTCATTTCTAGCTTTCTTAAGAACTAATCCATGGCAGTTGTTATTCAAGGTTCGATCTCTCGGACTTTCTTTACCAATGCAGGGTATTGGTGTTCCACAGGGTTTAATTCTTTCAATTACAGTGTACACTACTCCCTTCCTTCTTTTTATCAATGATTTACATCACACTGCTACCAATTCTTTCCATTCTTATGCTGATGAATCTACTCTTCACTCTTTTTCCCATTCCCCCCAACTCTCAAAGTACAGTAGATCTGTTTCTAGTGCTGATATTGTTTCGTCTATCAGTGCGGATCCGTGTAGTATTTATGAATGAGGAGGTAGAAATTTGGTTAACTTTCCAACTCCCGAAAGTTGGGAATGCTGTACAGATGCCATAGCTACTTCATTTCTGAGCAGTTGCTTCAGGTTAACTTGGAGTACTGCACTCATATCTGGGGTGGTTCTTCTTCTGTTCAACTGTTAGATAGGGTGGAATCAAAGACATTTTGTGTTATTAACTCCTCCTTTTGTCAATGATCTCTCTTCCCTTTCTCTTTGCCACAATGTTGCTTCACTCTCTTTTACAGGTTCTTTAACAGGCAATGTTCAGTGGATTTGGCATCCTGTGTACCGCTGGCAAAGTTGTGGGCTCGTAACACTCGTCTTGCCTGTGGTACCCACTGTTTGTGTGTGGATGTCAGGCACACTAGAATAACCTGTTGTAGTAGCTCCTTCTTTCCACACACAGTCAAACTGTGGAATGCTTTGCCTGGTCTTCCGGCATCTTTGTGGTATAGATTAACATACAGTACTCATTTTTCCCCCTAATTTATTTTGTTTTTTCTTGCCCCGATGTGGGTTGGTGACTTGTGCCCGGGTGGGCTATCCCCCATTAAAAAAATAAACCTTGTCCTCCCTCTACATGGGTTCTTTTCATATTGATTCACAATTTTATAGTTAATTTTTAAATACCAAGGTTTCACTGTACAGTATATTGAGTGTGTGATTAAATGTTGCACAGGTTGTGCTACTGCTTGGGCACTGTTAAATGTTCCCCCACTCATCGGAGTATGTGTTTCCAGTTCTATTCCCAGGTATGCTCTGTATAAAGGTACAGGGTACTAACAACCAACTGCCCTGCAAGTACTGTAACCCCAAATAGGTGACCCTGGCCAAGAAGCTGAAAAAGATACAGTATCCAACTTGTGCTGTAATACTGTATTAAACAACCTAAGAGAAAGTCTCTGGCCCAGTTGCTGCCTTTTACTGAGCCCCTTATTTCTTTCCTTTACTCTTCCCCCCAAATTATCTCCTTTTCTGTTAATATACGTATAGTACAGTGAACCTTCGAAGATTCGAACCCAATAAATCCGGATTTTGGAAGATTCGGACAAAATTTGGGGGTTCCGGGGGCAAAGAAGCATTCCCAAAACAGAGCAAAGTTCATCTTATGCCTGTGTAACTAAGATGTCAGCGTGCAAGACACAGGTACCCGAGGCGGGAAACCTAAACAGAGTTGTCAATTGAGGGCCTCAGAATCACAAGGCCGCAAATACCTATGGAGTTATTGGTACCAACGTATTCTCTAAGTTGAGTTCTGTTCTGTTGAGCTTGGATTTGTGGCTGTGTTACTCTCACATGGTCGAAAATAGCATTGAAATACCTTGGTTTGTGTACCAAAAAGGACTGTGTTCAGCGCACGTTCGTCACACAAGGCCACAAGACTCGCCCCACTGCACGGTGTCCCTTTAACTCAAATAGCAGCCACTGACGGGTGCAAGTCACCCGCCACACCTCCCAGCTGAGCCAATGACGCAGCGAGCAGACCTGCTTCAGCCAATGAGCGCGCATCTGGGAGATTATGTGTGAATCATCAAGCTTCTCTCACACTCTGCTAGCTACCTCACTTTGTTGTTCCTTAGTCTTTGCACTAACCATGCACGTACTTTGGACGGGTGTGTGCAATGCGCATGGGCCGCGATGCATGATACTCATACACAAAGTTTTTTACAATAACAATCTTCAAAATAAAACAAGCTCCACCTCGATATCTTTATTAGTTGTGGAGTAACAAACGAAAAACTGTAAGGGCTTGTTTCTCACTTTTTAAAAAACAGCACTTGTGGCCTTGTGATTCTAAGGCCCTCGATTGTTGTTTGTAGGAATATTATTTTATTCACTCTAGTAAGGACACAATGTCTCTTATTATTTTATTGTAAGTAACTGCATGATTTATATAATTTGTTTATCACTGTGCCCTTCACCATTTTCAAATTAGACTACAAGATATGTTTCTCCCATACGTATGTCAATCATACGCCTGGCAACTGGAGCGAGTGAGTGACCAGTAGTTAGTGCCGTCTGCTCTTGTAACTCTCCTACCTCCCTGCCATATTTCACGGGATTTACTTTTATTATTATTGTTTACCGATATAATAGTGATTAATCTTGACACTGTAACCAGGTTAGACTCATCACTGTAACCACCAGGCTACTGGGCCAAGCTGTGAGGTGATATGGTTGTTTTTCAACTTGTATTTTCGGGTAGATATACAGTGGTGTATGCTATAACGAATCTAATTGGTTCTAGAACCTTGTTCGTTATAGGATTAATCCGTACCAGGCCCCCAAATACAACCACTTAACACTGAAAAATATAATATAAAATTGTAAAAAAGTGCATAAATATGCATCTAAACCCCTGAAATAAAGAATTCATTAATACTTGTAATAAAAAAACAATAAATTAGTAAAAAAAAATAAATAAATAATGTTCGTTGTAGGAGTTTCGTTCGTTATAGCATTCTCAATTTTATAGGTAAAACCGTTCGTTATAGGAATATTCGTAGTAGGATCCGTTCGTTATAGCATACCCCACTGTATGTAACTTTTTTCATTTATTGTTAATCAGTTACATGCACATATCCCACATAAATATTGTGAAAAAATTCAAAGAAATACATTGTTCTAAGGAAAAACACATAATGGGAGGAGAGTGTAGGGGTGGGGAGTGTTGCTAGGGAATCGGTGTCCCAGCTGGTCTTTGTTACTATGGTGAAGCAGGAAGTGTTAAACTTTCATTTGGCTTTTATTTATTGATTTGGCAATACAGTATTTTTTTTTTGTAACATATTTATTGATATTTTTGTTTGTTCCTCACATTTCCTGGTACAGGTTGACAATCCCTTATCCGAAATCCTTGGGGCCAGAGGAATTTCGGATTTCGTAATTTTTCAGTTTTCAGAATGATTTTTTTTTTTTTTTGTATTAACCCATCCGGGCATAGATCACTGACCCACATCAAGGCCTGGGGAGGGGAGGGGGAGGAATTATAATAATAATAATTCATATGTCTAGGTTGTGTTTCTCACTTTTGATCTTTTTTTCATTCTTGTATTTCTTTATTATTATTATTTTATTATTACAGTACTCTTGTATTATTGTTATTTTTATTAATTTTATTATTATTATTAATGTTATCATTATTTTATTTTGGTGTATTTTTATTAAATATTTTATTTACTGAGTAATTATTATTTTTATAATTATTATTACTATTACATCCCCCCCCCCCCAGCCCCGATGTGGGTCAGTCATCTATGCCCAGGTGGGCTAATCCCTGTTTAAAAAAAAAAAAAAAATTTCGGTTTTTGGAATTTCAGATAAAGGGTTGTCAACCTGTAATGTACTGTATATATTACTTTAAGAAAACTATGGCTACAGGAGAAAAACACACAAAAAGTTCTTTCCTAAATACAGTCAACCCTCACTTTACGCGGTTAATGTAACCCACAGGGTACCGCGGAAAGTGAGAAACGAGTAAAGTGAATAACATAACATATGGGATTAAAT